CCCTAGTTACACTTTGTAGACCCCTTCTGAAGTTGTCCACAGATGCCTTGGGATCCCTGGAACAGTGGTTTTAACAACTACTCCAATTTATTTATGACTTAAAAAATAAAAGCCTAATGTATTTCACAAATATAAGTAACAGTTTTATCTCTTTAAACTACTAAACTAAAGTTTCCATCCCACCAAACATTACAAAGCAAAATCATTTTTCTTTGATCCCCCTCGTCCCAGATTTGTACGGCACCTCCCCAGGGACACACGTGCAAAGCCGAGCAAGGGGAACGCTACTGACAGTAAATCAAGCTTGCACAGATCCCATTTGGTTGATCATTAAGAAATTATGCTCCAAAATGCAACTCAGACATTCAAAAATGAATGACCAAGCAATCTAATTATGGAAGATATTTCTCACTCATGTCAGCACTATGTGGTCTTGGCTTGCGATCAAGAATTAGCTCTGTCTGGAGCTGAGGAGCTCTAGCTAGTCAGTGCTAATCATAGGAGGATGCACTGTGTTACCCAGTGTTAAAAAACAAAGTTTAGGGATGTGGGCTGCTTTTCCTACAATTTTCTTACACCACGGTGGGAGATACCAATGCAAAGTCAGTGGAAGATGCTGGTGCCCCCATTTTCCCATGGGGACGGTTGCCCTTAGCATCCCTGAGAATGTATCCTTGCTTGAGCAAATCAACATGCACTGACATGGCTTGCGAGAAATCTCATGTCTAGCCTTTTTTTTTTTATATCAGCTAGCAGAGCTGATACATTCAGCATCCATCCATAGGACACGCCCCACGCCCAAGTTTGCAGGGAGAGCAACAGAACATCCCAGTGTCCCATCACCTGCTCAGGTGATGGATCCATCACATGCCCCTTCGGTGAGCGGCAGCGGTGTTGGGAAGTGCATACACCTTCATGGACAGACCCTGAAGCATGGCACCACCAGACTCCAGCTCTAAAACACAACAGTTGCTACAACCACAGCATGCAGAGGAACGAAAAAGAAGCCTGGAAAGCAGCTGCTGCCAGTGGTCCCCATGAGCATGGGCCAGTTACGCTCATGTGAAACACTGACCTAGAGCCAAGACCAAAGGCAATGCTCATTTTTCCAACTGGCAGTGAACTTCTCTAAGGAGAAGGAGTGAAAAATAGAGTATTTAGGCCCACTTAAACAGAGATCTAACGTTTATGTACATTATGTAAAGAACACTCAGGGTGTGAGCTCACTGTCAAGGACACATTCGGCAATAATTATTTCCCAAGTTAAAACTCATCAAACAATGCCCATACAAGGCAACTCTTCATCTACCGTTGAGTGTTAAAGACTCGGCAGCTTTTGCAATTTGTCACCATGTGAGCACAGCAAAAACATAACTCTGCCACAGCTTCCTTTCAAGTTAGGCTTTTTATTGAATTGTTTGGCAGGGTGTGCAATCATCACGTCAGGGGCTGCATGGCAAAAAGAGCTTAAGTAGCAGAGAACGACTCCAAATATCTACCGCATATGCACATCATTGCTGCAGCTCCTCATGGATTTGCAGTGGATCTTTCCCATGGCCTGTTGCAGTAAGACTTTCTCTCTATTTTGTATTACATATAAAATACAGAGAGAGAAATGAGGGACCAAAATTACAAAAGACTCTGGCTCCTTGGCTAGTTAACAGCACACCTCTTGGGAACGGAGGTGGTGGTTTAAAGATAGAAATCCAATGGTACACAATGTTACCATCTGTACATCCAAGGAAATGTGCTCAGAAAGGTAATCTTGCAAACTTATGATTTAAGCCATTACAGAAATGCCACATTTAGCAGGCTCCAGGCACACAGAGTTTCTTCCAAACCAAGGAACTATTTTGCAGTGTGTCGGAAAACAAGTTTTCATTGAATGAGTAAGTGTGCAGCGCAAACTCAGGGGCTCCTGAGTGATCTTGAAAAGCAGTTCCCTTCACCAAACAATTTTCCAAGACCTTTTCAAAATGTTGTTTCTGGATGCCTAACATGCCTTCCCAGACCGCTTCTCCTTGCCTTGACCAAGTTCGTACTTTAAGTTTGCTGCCAAACTAGCTAAACTTTCAGGAGTGGTTTGCTGGGAGGTGGGGGGATATTTCTTTAAAAGACTCCTGTGGACAGCCTAGCCCTTCACTGCAGCTCGGTAAACAAGCCAAAAGCAGTTTACGGTCTGAGATGTTACTGTTGGACTTTGCTCCCCCATAAGAAAACAGGTTGGGGTAAGCTGGGCCGGTGGAGGAGTGGGAGGTGAATGCTGCTGGGGCACCGGTGAGCGGGGCCACCATTCTGGCCTCATGCTCTGCCTCCTCCCTCTAGCACACATCGGCCTGTGTCATCTTTAAGACTTTTATGACTTCCTCTGAACCAACTACCAAAGGCATCCCGGACTGTAATGCTGGGCTCTAATCCGATTTCACACTAGACTTGCCTTCTAATTATCACAGAATATTAGGCTTCCACCCATCATATATAATTGACACGCTACCCAGGCTTTACAAAACCCCCAACAAAGATGACAAGAAACACTAGCATCACCCCTGAGCCCAGCTCCGCTGCTCTGGCCCCACGTTAACAAGGGGCGAGAAGAAGAAAGAAAAGCGTGAGCTTGTGATCGGCTCCAGTGGAGTCATCGAGACAGACAAGGCTACCGAACCATCCACCCAATCCGATCACCTTTAATTGTACCCAAAATACCAAAAACTGCCCAGTTTTCCTGGCTACAAAATGAGCTGGGGATGCTCAGCCCCCCCAGGAATGGCCCGTGAGCTCTCACTCGTCTGCAACGGTGCTGCCGTAACCCCTATGGGCTGCGGGCACCACCGCCCATCCCACGGCCACAACAGTCGCAAGGCAAGGCTGGGTCACCCTAATCACTGCTTTTAGATATTGGCTAATGAAGAGCACTACAGAAATGCAGGTAGTGCCTTGGCATATAAGTATTTCCAGGTGAAATGAGACTATGCTGCCAACAGCAAAGGGAGGAAAAGCAGTGACCCTACTGCCTCCCTCCCAGGCCGTCAGACCCGCACGCTGCCGGAAGGCGTGCTTTTTGCTTGGCATAAAGCAGCAAACTGCAATTTGTAGTTGATGGCTCTTATCGGAGTACTTCTTTTCACCAGGTGGTCAGTCTTCTCTGCTTGCTTTAAAGCAAGTGCTGCTGGGGGACTTGTGTTTATTTTACTGGGGAGAATACTCCTGCGGAGATGGTCGCGTGCCAGGAAGGAAGAGATGTAAACCGGCGCTGAGGTCCTGCTGGTGCAGGCGATGCATCCACGAAGGGCAGCGGAGTTGGAAGTTTCGAAGCTCACATCCTGCAAACGGTGCAGCGCTGCTGGAACCCTCTGGCCAGAGCAGGTCAAACTGGGTTGGGACATTGGGAGCTGTACCTCCCTCTGTGCTCCCAAGCACAGGGTGCTATTTCCAGCCCTAACCACTATTTCAACCATGGTTCAGGCACTTCAGAAGTGCTCTGTGCAGCCTCCTCCCTATGTCTTCCACC